AACACCGGCAGGAACAGGTGGAGAGACTGGTAAGCCGACAGAAGCTCCCACGTCAGCCCCGGCAGGAACAGATGGACCAACAGGAGGAGGTGCTAATACGCCGACAGTCGCTTCCGACTCAACAACGGCATAGAAACCATCGCAGAGTTAAATGGCTCGCCACCGGACGAGCGCCTCAAATATCCCCAAATCCCAATGAGTTTGTATAAATGCAATATTCAATGCAGCAAATAAAACGCCAGAGATTTCATTTGGCCTCTATATAATTAAATCCATTTTAGAATGTAAATTTACTACAGATTGAGAGGTAGCGGGAAGGGAGTGGTGGTGTGTGGCTATCGTGATGGATTGGGGAAGTGGTTGTGCTAATGGTGGGATCTTGAATGGTGGTATTCAGAAACACAGAAACATTCTGTATAGAGAGCTTATGTGACTACATGCTATTTATAGAAAACAAGACGACTTCGTAAATAAACATGGAGTTTTTCAATACAAGACAAGTAAGAACGTTGCAGTCGGGCGTTACCGACTGTGGAATACTCATTCACACCCCATCAGCAATTTAGTAGCCAAGTTTTGCTAACGGTAACCTAAATTCAAAATTTGAATTCTTACGCTAAAAAATTGTGAAAATTACAGGGTATTCATTCGATATGCCACGCCCCTAAAGAGGCGTAACAATTAGTTTAGGGACATCGATAAAGGAGATTACTAGTAACCTAACCTCTTAACCTCCTAAGCTGTAGGAGATATAAACTGTTGCGGTTGGCCACGCTCCCTTTGGGCGGAGTTAAATCCATCATAACTCGTTTGACATGGGAGGTCAACCTGCGTATATATACCAAATTTCAGGTCTCTAGCATCAATAGTGCCTAAAATATAGAAGAATTTGAAAAATCACTATTTCTTCAGGTCCGATTTGCCACGCCCCTAATAGGCGTAGATATATAACTTTTCCACCCATCTTTAAAGAATAGAAACATTAGCGCACGTGCAAAATTTCACCATTCTAGATTTACAACTTTGGGAGATACAGTTTTATCAGATTTACCACGCCCCCAATGGCGGAGATATATCCACCATAGCTGGTGATCTTGTGTGGTCGACGCGGATCTATATACCAAATTTCAGCTTTCTGGCTCTTCAACTAACATGATTTCTGGCATAGCGGAAAAGGCATTTTCCGATTTGCCACGCCCCTAGGAGGCGGATCCGGAAAAATTTAACACTTTATAGATCGGAGATATACACGAGTATATGTTCCAAATTTCAAGTCTCTAGCTTCACTTTCGTGAATGAGTATAATTATTTAATTTATAAAAAGAACGATTCTTTGATTTGAACATGTAGTTTCCACAGTAAAACAATCTTTCGCCGAATCTTCAAAACAACATTAATATTTTTGAATATTTTTAGTTTTACTTTCAACCTTTAATCATCGTATTTTCAATGTTCTGAGTGTACAAATTATAATGATGCAATATTATATTAACATATTGGATTTTACTTACACTTTGAAGCATCTGTTTGCATTAAGTGGAAACAGAGAATATTAATCAAAAGTATAGTTAAACATAGCCTAAAAAAATGACTAGGGAATATTTTTAAAATTCATTTTTCTTTCCTTCTCTCTCAAACTGAAGCCAAATTCAGGGAAACGAGAAAATTGCTACTGAACAAATTTTAAGTTATCGGAAGTAGAATAACTTATTTTAATTCCCAATGAGTTTGTATATATATTATACCTTTCTCAAAATTTGTTCGCAGAAATATAAATAATTTCAAAGAGCAACACGTAGTATGTTAAAAAATGCTACAATATATACATATTAAAGATTTATAGATACAAACATTATATACACGACATTATATGTATATACATATGCACATACGCTGCTATACTTATATATATATATATATATATATATATATATATATATATATATATATATATATATGTATATAAAATATAAATGGCATTACTTTGGTGTGGGTTGCGCCAGCCAGAAAAACAATTTATGTTTCATAGACGTGTATACACACACACATATATATATATATGTATATATATAAATATATATATAATACTGCGCCATAATTGACTGACGCTGGCGTATCGTCATTATCATCATCATCGTGATCATCAAGCTGTATAAGTAATCGTAGGAGACAATTAATTCTATCTACGCGCTACTACTTCTATTTTGTTGCCTGGAACGATGATGTAATTCAATTGTAATCCTGCAATGCGGTCATAGGTTGTACGAGTCCTAACAGCAAGGTCTCACAATACATTAACTCATTAGTTGACGTTATTTTCTTTCATATCACATAGCACATACCACAGTCTGTATATTTAATTGAACGTATCGCTTTTTTTGACTATTTAAAACTTTCACAAATAGCTTATACCAAATTTTGTCTTCATTATACTATTTTTTTGTATTACATTATTCTTTATTTCCTGTTTTCTTTTCATTACCTGTAAACGAGCTGAACATGTTGAAAAATTTGTATAGTTTTGATTTAAACTGTTATTTGAATTTATCTTTGGGATGATTTTACAGTCGATTAATTTTTGTACGATGCGCGTTTGTAAACGTTCCGAATGCGTCGACGGCAAAAATACGAATAAGTTCCAAGCCAAAGTATCTTATTGGAATTATTTTCGCTAACACTTTTTCTTGTTTGCTGCGTTGTTTTTAGCTAATAGTTCTGCTTCTGCTTGTGGAATGTATTTACTGCATGTGGACTCTAGCATTGAGTACCATCGCTGCCAGATAGGCATATGATGTTGCGGTTAGGCTAATGTTAGTGCTGCCAGATGTTAGTTGACAGTGTCAACAAGTGCTATGAACGTTTGATGTCTATGAATATGATTTACCTAACTTACGAAGTAATTTGAATTTTAATATAAAATGTGATTCACAACAGTGCTCTAGAATCTCAAATTTATTAAAACTTAATTGTCTCGAATGTTTCAGCGTTGCCAGACTAATAAATTAACATGGAAAAACTTAAAATTGGAAAATCATCATCCAAAAAATAATATATAAAACAAATAATTAGACTCTAGTCGAGACTGCTCGACTAGGAGAAACCCTGAACCCTCCAATCTGATTTCTAATCACTCTGCACTTTTTAGGCACACATGCATACACACGCACTTATTAAAACGCGCTCTGCTAACTGCGCAGTAAGCAGCGGCTGCGCTTGGGCTGCGCTGCAGTGTGGGAGAATTTATTTGTTGAAGAATTTAATTTCTAGACCTACAATCTTAATGAAACTTTCAGAACGTAAACATAATGTTAAAACATATGTACATTCCAAAGCAAACGTCTCTAGTACTTGAAATACGCCTTTAACAAAATTGAGAGTGATGATGTGAATTTAGGGGTGGGGGGTAAATTATAACAAAAATCAAAATTATATACAATATGATTAAGCTCTTGAGCTTCGACATATACATACATTTAAACAATATGATTACGTTCTGAAAGTTTCATTACGATCGTACATCTAGAATTCAAATTATTCAACAAATAAATTCTTAAAATACTGCCAAGACTGCAGCGCAACCCAAGCGCAATCGCTTGTATACATATGTGCCCGTGTATGTGATGTTTGTTTGTGTGCGTGTGTGTGCGCGTGTATTTGTTTGTGTGCGTGTGTGTGTGTGTGTGTTAATTGTTATTGAAATATCAGTTGCTTGTAAGGTTCAGGGGATCTTGTAGTCGAG